AGTTTGACAGGGCAGGAGATGATTCTTCACTGATGGGGTAGCACCCTCAGCCCCCACACAGTAAATTGCGGGTCCTTTGTCAGGGGGGTGGCAACTCAAAGCCATCCTTACAGATTTACTAAATGTCTTCTGGGGCTTTCAATACCCAAAGCACTGTGGTCCCTGGACCAGCAGCAGCATCAGGGAATCTGTTGCAAATGCAGAATCTGAAGCCTTGAACTAGACCTACTGGGTGGGAATGTGCATTTTAACAAGTTCCCCCAAGTGATTCATATTCTCCTGAAGCACTCCTCTGGGGGACAGTGCTGACCCCATTAGAAATACTAACCAAACCCAACCTTACTGGTTTCTCGAATGAGGAAGCAAGCCCACCAAGGTCAAAGGTCAGTCAACTGTATATTTTGCTCCCCTTCCTGTCACTGAGTTACTTGAGGACAAGCCGGGTATGGGATTCTTCTCTCGGATCTGCACACAGCCGCCAGCACGGAGACACACACACAGCTGTGGCCCTAAAAAAATCCCGTTGTCTGTATTCCCTCAGGACTGAATCCTTTTTAACCAGAAAACAACAGGCTCCATTACTCCTCCGTAGAAGCACAAGCACTAGATCCCTAGCACTCACTGGGACTGAGTTTCAACACCTGTGTTTTGCAAATTTCACCACCAGCCCGCCTAAGACCAGTGTTTGAATGAAGAGCAACTGTCTCCCTCTCCACCTCCTCTGCCAATAAGCTGCTGTGGTGAGCTTCATTCTCAGAGAAAGAAGAAATAAAAGCAAACCCCCTAATTGTTCTATGGTAACTACAGCGATGATAGATGCTGTTACATGCAGACTCAGGTAAAAGAAAAATAAATGCCAACATGAAAAAGCCAGGAAAGGAGCTTCCCTGTGACAAGAGGCTCCAGTGGGCAGATCCTTTTGCTGAGGTGTGATTTAAAAAGTCAGATTCAGGGGCACCTGGGTGGCTCAGTCAGTTAAATGTCCTAAGCATCCAAATTTTTATTTCGGCTCAGGTCATGATCTCAGGGTTCGTGAGTTCGAGCCCCACTTCGGGCTCTGTGCTGACAACACGGAGCCTGCTGGGGATTCTGTCTCCCTCTCTCTCTGCCCCTCTCCTGCTTGTGTTCTCTTTCTCTCTCAAAAATGGATAATAAACATTAAAAGGTCAGATTCCTATGTGGAACTTGAGAAACTTAACAGAAGAGCAGGGAGGAAGGGAAGGGGAAAGAATAGTATCAAACAGAGAGGAAGGCAAAGCACAAGAGACTCTTAAATGAAGAGAACAGAGGGTTGGTGGAGGGGGGTGGGGAGAGGGGAAAATGGGTGATGGCCACTGAGGAGGGCACTTGCTGGGATGAGCACTGGGTACTGTCTGTAAGTGATGAATCATGGGAGTCTACTCCCAAAGCCAAGAGAACGCTGCGTACACTGTATATTTGCTGACTTAACAATAAATTATATATTTTTTAAAAAGTGTGTTAAAAAAAAGGTCAGATTCAGTAACCTATGAATTCTTGGCCCATCCTCCCCATCCTGTCTAGTGGAATGCTAACCCCCTGAGTGAATGCCCCCCACTGGGCGTGAGGGAGGCCAGCTGAGCCACTAGCAGAATGGCCAGCATGAGAAAAGCTGAGGTGAGAACAGCAAAGGGGAGAGGAGGCTTCCTTCAGCCCACCTTTCAATCCTGACTGAGCCTGTCTCCAAAGAGCCCACAGCCTACAGAGCTGCAGCCACCATCAGCCTCACCTCTGTGCTGTGGGCAGAAGGATGGCTCAATACCTTAGCCCACAGGTTCCACTTCCGGGCCTCACTTCCTTCCTTCATCAAGCAATAGTAAAGACCCAAGACAACTGAGCCCACCCTCTTCCCCCACTGCAGTGAATTCGTTTCTCTGATCACATTCAGGCCCCAGCCCAACGCAACATGCCATTCCAATATCACATTTACCAGGTGGCACTGCAGCTTCCTGTTGACATGTCCTAACTGGGCTCCAAGGACCAGGGTGTGGCTCACGCCTCTTACCTCTCACATCTGGCACAGTGCCTCACATTCAGGAGTCATACTCTAAATGTCTGGGTACTGAAAGGGGGCAATGGGGCCAATTATAGCATGACAGCCCCAGAAACTGAGCTTTTGCTAGAACAAAAATGCATTCTCATTATAAGCCTTCTTTGGGACATGTCACCACCTCGCCCATGTTTAGAGCTGCTCTCTCCGTCAAGACCATCACCACCATGCCACCACTATAGCAAACTTAAAAGGTAAGAGGTGTAACTGTAAATCAGACCTTTTTTTAAGATCCTGGAGGCAATGTAATAGATTAGCTAAAGCATCAGGTTCTAGAGCCAGAAATTCGTAGGTTCAAATACTCATTCTGCAAAGCACTAGTCATGAATCTTGGTCAAGTGACTTCACTCTGATACCATTTCCTTGTCTATAAAATGTGAATGGGAATACCACATCCTCATGGGGTTCTGGTGAGGCAGTACATGCTATAGAATGAGTCTTTCAACTGTCTTCTTTATTTTTGTCCCTGGTCTCCAAGCAGCTCCCCAGGCTGTGCTAAAACAACCAGGAAGTAAGGTTTCTTTCCTTCTACTCTAGGGTAAAATGGCATGGACATAACAAGGCAGGGCTGCACACCCACATGCCTGGACAAGTAACAGAGGTAAGCCCACTTGTCAGGTGCAAATGAAGCAGAATCACATCCACACAGAAATCTACCCTCTCCTTTTCTTCTTGAAAAAGACTCCCTTTGCAGGGGGCATTTGGAGGGGTCAGTTGGTTGAGTCCCTGACTCTTGATTTGGGCTCGGGTCATTATCTCATGATTCATGTGATCAAGCCCCATATCAGGCTTCATGCTTAAGATTCTCTCTCTCCCTCTACCCCTCCCCACCCTCAAAAAGAAGAAGAAGAAGAAGACGATGATGACAAATGGGGGGGGGGGGACGGTAAGAGTTGGGAAAATGTTCAAATGGGAGCAGGCTAGTCCCAACATCAGGGATCCTTAGAGACAGCAGCTCTCCAGTCCAAACCAGTGGTCAGCATATAGTTATTAGAACCCAGTGTTTCCAGGCCTTTTGATAATGCAAAGACATTTCAGAATTTTTTAAGGTACATTTAGGTACAATTCAAAATGGCAGTCTTACCCATTGCAGCATTACTTGTAATAAATGCCAAATGACTGAAAACAACATATGTTGATCGGCAGGGAATTGGTTGAGTAAATTAGGGTACCTCCCTATAATAGAGCACTATGCCCCTGTTTAAAAAAAATGAATGGAAAGCTCTCAACATACTAACAGTAAAAGAGCACCAAGATAAATTAAGTGGAAAAAAAAGCAAGGTTAAAAGAAGTGTGTATAGTGAGAAAAAACAGGATGGAGACAAGATATATTTGTAATAACTCTAGAAGGATGTATAAAACTAATAAAAGTAAGGGCACCTGGGTGGCTCAGTTGGTTAAGAGTCTGACTCTTGATTTCAGCTCAGATCATGATCTCAAGGTTTTGTGAGATTGAGCCCCTACCCGCTTGGGATTCTCTCCTAGGGCTATTCACCCCTAGCCTTTTGTGTGTCTCTGTCTTGTCACCCTGAATAGGTTCACTTCTAGGGTGAGCACAATTCTAGAGTGAATTGTGATCTCCAATAAAGATATGGTGAAGCCCTAACCCCCAGGACCTCCAATGCGAGCTAATTTGGAAACAGGGTCATTGCAGAGGTCACTAGCTAAGGTGAGGTCATACTGGAATAGAATGGGCCCCTACTCCAGTATGACCAGCGTATTTATAAAAAGATAGTCACTTGAAGATAAAGACACACAGGGAGAAAGCCATGTGACAGTGAAGGTGGAACGTGGATTATGTGGCTATGAGCCACAAAATGCTAAAGATTGCGGACAAATGACCAGAAGCTGGGTAGAGTTGAGGAAGGATTCCCTTACAGGTTAGGGAGGGAGCATGGCCCTGCCACACCTTGACACTGGACTTCAATCCTCCAGAATTCTGAGACCATAAATTTCTGTTTTAAGTCACCCTGTTGGTGGTACTTTATAATGGCTGCCATAGGAAATGAATATACTCAAGCCAGCTCGAGTGACAGAGGCACCTGACCCTTTTCCATCTCAGTAGCGGCTCGGTAGACACTGAGGGAAACTCTGTTCCAATGAATGAAAACTCTAGGACCTTGCCTGGTCGAGCTTTATTGTATAGGTGAAGTGGAAACTCAGTCAGTCAATAATTACTGAGTACTGACCTTGTGAAGAACGTAGGAGAAAAAAATGTTCCATGAATGCCCTCAGGAAGTTGACAATTGATTGATGATGTCAGACAGATAGAAAAAATATAATACATATATATAGAGAGACACACACACACATACAAATTACATACATACATACATACATGCATACACACATAATAAATATATGTAATATAACACAATACATTTCATATCAGCCAAATAAGCATGACCTCACCCCCCCAGTGGATGCCACAGAGGTCACTCCGAACTAAATCCCACTGGACTGCCATCTGGCCTCAATCTTCCACTGTATTTCATTTTAGCTGCTCCTGAACATGTGTGTCCGGAAGACTGGGGAAAGTGTTAGACTATCGGGCTAGTAGACAATTTCTTGAAACTGTCACCACTGCTCCTGGCATGGAACCTGAACCTGTCGCCCACTGCAGATGCCCACTGCTGTCTGTGTTAACTGTCTTCTACTCCTGGTCAAAGACTCTCCCATCAGTTTCTTATCATCTCCCCTTTCCTGTTCAGAGAGGAACAATGAGCCTATTCTATACTTCTCCGCAAATCTGACATGCAGGAAACACAAAATCCAGGTAGTCTGGGGGTCCGCTTCAGTAGGTCAACTAGAAGAGATTTAAAAGGAGCTACAGAAAATCAGAGGACCTTAGCAAATATACTGTCATCTTCATCATCACTCAGAACATTTGCTTCTTTGGCCCAGCCTCCTTGCAGGTTCCCACTATACCTACCTCTAGGAACCTCTGGTTCTTACCAGAAGGAAACCTCGCATCCACTTCCACGCCTGGGGTTGGGGAGGCAGCACACAGGACTGAGCTCTCCTGGAGCTTTCTCTGATGCCCAGGCCTCCGGGTGAGGCTGCTCTGGGAGGAAGAGACGTGGCCGTGGGAGTGCCAGGTGGACACCCAGGCGGGGTTCATGAGGAAAATTGGCAAGTCGCTGAAGCTCCACCCTTGACAAGCAGCCTGATGACCTGACTTTGGCTCCAGGCCAGTCCCCTGAGGGGCAGCTGTGGTCAGGGCATGACCTGCAGGTAGAACAGACAGAGGAACGGTCTCTTCACTTTGACTTCACATAATTCATTATAGGTTCTCAGAGCAGAAAAGGCCTTTGAAGTCACTTAATTTTTAGCCTGTTGTTTATCAAATGCACTTCCAGATGGGCTTTGGGTCTGACTTCGAAGCAAACAGCACTGCCTGCCCAAGCAACATCCATCTCTCCCTTGCTCCTCTCCAAGCAAACTCCAACTGTGTTACCACTCAGCGTGGGCGATCTCGTGCCCAGCTCAGGGGCCCTATCCAGTCAGAACACATGCAGGCCCCTGGCCCGTGGGTAAGCTAGGGGTGGGCATCTCACTCCCCCTGGTCACCAAGACACAAGAGGGGCCTCCTGAGGGTGCTCCTGGAAGTGTTTTCCAGGCTTTTAAAAAAAGAGACACAGGAACCTCTTTCTCCACTGGATGTTGTCTGGTCCAGCCACTCCATGACCTTCTGCAGCTGCACTGTGACCATAACGCACAAGCATAACAGAAGAATGGAGAAAGAAAGAGCCCAGGCCCTTGATGACATCACTGAACCACTGGGCTAATCAGCCCTGATGTCACTCCCCCACCATCCCAGACTTCTCATTATACAAGTAATAAATGCCCTTATTTACGTTTCTTGAGTTGGGTTTTGGAGTTTTGGTTTTACTGACCACAGCTAAGGTTATCCTAAGCAATGTGCATTCAGATCTCCCAAAACCACAGGACCATATTCCTGAAGCAAAATCTTACTATATTGACTATGGCTTCCCAAACTTCTACATCATTCTTTTCATCCCACCTTTTCTTGGGAGTCCATCGTCTCCCCAGACTTGACACATGTGACCACCTTTTCAATACAGTATTCAATGCTACAATATATGCCAATTTGCTCATTTGATTAATTAGACATTCTGAGTTCCCTACAATGTTCCAGATAGGGACTCAAAAATGAAGCCCTGAGGAGTACATGGTGGGTGAGACCCACTCCTGGCAAGGAGGTACGTGCCTTGTGGCAAGCACATGGTAGGATGTACACACAGGGCATGGAAGACCTTGAGGTAGGCAGTGCTAGCAAAAGCACCACGGAAAAGAAACTAATTCTTGAGGGAAGAGTAGAAGATGGTGAGCAGAAAGACCTTCTCAATGAAGGATATGAATAATGATGAAAATATAATACACAATGATGGTGGCAAACATTTCCTGAATGCTTTTCATTAAGGCACACATGCACTGTTCAGGGTGTTCATAAACTACATTCAGTAGTACAGTGTGGACAATTCTAGGTCCCAGAGGCCAATCTCCATTGGGTTACTTCCCAATCATAATTGGCCATTGTTTTGTTTTGTTTTGTTTTTTGTTTTTTTAGGTAGGCTTCACCCCCAGTGCAGAGCCCAACACAGGGCTTGAACTCATAACCCTGAGATCAAGACCTGAGCCGAGATCATAAATTGGATGCTTAACCCACTGAGCCAGTCAGGTTTCCCAATTTTGTCAATTTTTTAACAGAATTTCCTTCTGCATATGTATAATTTATTGTCAAGTTAGCTAACATATACAGTACACAGTGTGCTCTTGGCTTCGAAAGAAGATCCCTGTGATTCATCACTTACATACAACACCCAGTGCTCATCCCAACAAGAGACCTCCTCAAATAAACATGCTAGACTTCTTTTTCTGGCATTATAGTAGGCTAAGTAATTTGACCCCCTTGCCTGCCCCCGGAGTAAAAACAACTGAAAAATTTTGTACAAAATATATTTTTTTAAAAATGTCTCTAAGAGCATTGATGAGCTGGCAAGAGAGGAAGAAATTCACTGGCCAAGGACTTCTTCAGATAATGGAATATCTAGGTTCTGATTATAATAATGGCTATAATGTAATTAAAGAAATTAAAGACAAGCTTGCAATTATGTACGAGGAACAACAGCAACAAATCACAAGAAATAATCAAGAAGATACGGGGAAAATGGGCTAAAGGGAACTTTTAGAAATAAAAAATAAATAACTGAAATTACAATCTGTGGACAGACTTAATGGCATATTAGACACAGTCTGAGAAAGAAGTAGTGAGCTAGAAGCTAGGTCAAAATAAACTAACCAAAATGCAGCACAGAAAGACAAAGACTCAGAAAAATATGGAGAGAGCTTAAGAGACATGAAAAATGGAAGCTAGCATGTGTCTGTTTGAAGTCCTAGAAAGGGAAGAGAGAGAGAAAGTATTTGGACAGATAATGACTACAAATTTTCTAAAAGTGAGGAAAGATACTAATACACATGCTCAAGAATACCAATGAGTCTCAAGAATAAATAAAAGGAAACCCACAATTAGTTGTATCTCAGTGAGACTACAGAACATCAAAGACAAAGAAAGTATCTTAAAAGCAGCCAATGAGAAGAGACAAGTTACCTTTCAATGATTTTAAGCCAAAAGATGGTCAAATGCCTTCAGCGTGCTAGAAGAGAGTAATCATCACCTGAGACCTCTATACCTAAAATAAATAAATAAATAAAGATTCTTTAAGAATAAGAGAAATGGGGGTGCCTGACTGGCTCAGTCAGAAGACCGTGTGACTCTTGATCTCAGGGTTGTGAGTTTGAGCCCCACATTGGGTGTAGAAATTACTTAAAAAAATAAATAAATAAAATAATTTTAAAAAAAGAATAAGAAAAATGAAGGCATTATCCAATAAACAAAACTCTAGTTTGCCACAAGCAGACCCTCATTAAAGAGCTTTTTTTTTTTTTTTTTTTTTAGAGAGAGCGAGAGTGAGCGAGAAAGAGAGAGAGTACAAGCAAGGGAGGGACAGAGAAAGAAGCAGACTGAGGATCTGAAGCAGGCTCTGCTCTGACAACATACAGTCCGACTCGGGGCTCAAACTCATGAACTTCGAGATCATGACCTGAGCTGAAATCAGATGCTTAACCGACTCAGCCACCCAGGCGCCCCTTAAAATAAAATCTTAAAAAATTTCATATAGGGGACCTATATGGCTTACTCAGTTAAGGATCTGACTCTTGGGGGGCACCTGAGTGGCTCATTTGGTTAAGTATCCATCTTCAGCTCAGGTCATGATCTCACAGTTCCTGAGTTCAAGCCCCATATCAGGCTGTGACAGCTCAGAGCCTGGAGCCTGCTTCAGATTCTGTGTCTCCCTCTCTCTCTGGCCCTCCCCCTCTCATGCTCTGTCTCTCTGTCTCAAAAATGAATTAAAAAATTAAAAAAAAAAAAAAGGATCTGACTCTTGGTTTCAGCTCAGATCATGATCTCATGTGAATTGGAGCCCCACATCGGGCTCCTCGCTGACAGTACAGAGCCTGCTGAGATTCATTCTCTCTCTCTCACTGTCTCTCTCTCAAAATAAATAAAGTTTAAAAAATTCACATAATAATACCACTTATGCAAGGTTGCTGTGGAATAAATGAGCAGACACATACAAATGCTCCCAACATAGCTTCTGCCTCCAGAAGATGTAAAATAAATCTTAATTTCCTATCTCTTCAAAATGTAATAAATAAACAAGTAAGGAAGACACTGTTAGCAACAGAGAATTACTGCCTCTGCTTCAGGTGGAAGATACAATTGTGGCACTCTGTCACAGCATATGAATCTGCACTACAGAGCTGGTGCTTAGCAGCTGTTTCCTTGTTATCTTTTCAGTATCAAGCCCAAGATCTTCCAAACAAGCTATCTCTGATGTGTCTATTTTTAAAATACTGCATGTGCACACACACATGTTCCAGGGATATATACACTCTGGATTTCCATTTAACTCACAATTGTAAAATAAACTGCGTTCGCAGTTTTAAGAGCTCATAAAAAACATGTTGGTCCATCCATAGGGCAAAATGGCTCATTCCACCCACTCCCCTGTCCCAGGGCTCTTCTGCCAACTAGGAGACAGCCAGACCCCAGTCCTCATGCTAAGAGACACTCTTCCTGACTCCAATCTGGACTTCACTCCGTTTCATAAGGACTGCGAAAGAAGAGAAAAGGCAGCTAAGAAAAGTTAGCTTGGACCCTCTGAAGTTCTCTGCCTAATCTGCATTTGGCAACAATCTGGAAGGTAGGGCAAGGGGGGAGGAGGGACAAAACCAGGGAGGGGACGGGGCGCCTGAGTGGCTCAGTCAGATGAGCATCCAACTTCGACTCAGGTCAAGATCTTGTGGTTCTTGAGTTCTAGCATCATATGGTGAGTCCGAGTCCCACATTGGGCTTGCTGCTGTCAGCACAGAGCCTACTTTGGATACTCTGTCCCCCTTTCTGCCTCTCCTCCGTTCACACACATGCATACACATGTGCTCTCTCCCTCAAAAATAAACACTAAGAAAAAAAAAAACAGGGAGAGGACAGATAAATCCAGGACTAATCTTCTCTTGATAGTGTCATGGAAGCCAATAACACCAGTCCTGAAGTTCTAAGACCAGGACTGGCATCCTTACTCTGCCGTTTGTTCCCATGTGTCCTTAGTCAAGACACTGAACCTCTCTGATTTTATTCTCCTCACCTGTAGATTGGAGGCAATAATTATATCATATTTGGAGAGCACCTTACAATTGACTAAGTGTTTCCATAGCCATCATTTCATTTAACATGCATAGTTGGGCATATAACAGCTAGCATTATAATCACCTCACTGCTCTGTGGTGAAGATTCAAAAACAGAGCACGGAACCACTTGTGCAAAGTGCCAAGGGCTTGGCCCACAGAAAGGATCATCGCCAGGGTACTGGCCTTAGCCTGTTAGGAGCGCAGGATCTGCAGTCCAAACATCTGCATTTGAATTCTGATTCTCCACTTATTACCTGGGTGACCTTGAGCAGGCGGCTTAGCTTCCACCTTCTTACCTCTAAGCTAGGGATGAGAGGAATAGTCCTGTCTCCTAGCTCAGGTACAGGGGAGGCGCTCAGTGAA